GAAGTATCTCAAGTTGCATCATTCCCCTTGCCTGGAATCTTGGGGGGTTCTGGATCTGTACTCCTGTTTGCCTGATGTCTGTTCTGTAAAACTAGGGTGTATTACAAATACAGAGTGAGAATTTGCACTTTTCTGAAGACTTTCTGTGTACTGCTATGTGGATTTAGCTGAATGAAGTGTTATAAGTAATAAAATATTCCCTTTGTGGTCTCAATCCGGGTTTCTTTGTCTTTAGCCAAACACCTCTGCCCCAGAAGCTGAGCTGGGCTTGGAGGGATATCCATGTGCCACTTGGGTGAGGCCTGGGAACAGGAGACTGTTCAGAGCCTCCTCCTTTTGATGGCACTGAGATCTCCCAGATGGTGGAAGGTGTCCCTGGGGCTGATGGGGACCTGGAGTGTCCCCTCAGTGATGGCTGCAGGCTTCATCCCAGGGGATCTGTTGTTGTTTTACCTTCCAAGGCTGCTATCCCTGAGCCCCTCTCCTCCCAGCTCAGTGTGGGGGACAGCCAAGGGCCAGGTGGGACCCCTGGCAGTTCAGGGTTGGGGTGCCCTTCAGCAGGGAGAGGGGGGAGCCCAGGACTGTCCTTGTCGCTGCTGAACACAGACATTTTATCCAAGACAGCACCACTAGGCTGGTCCGGGCTCGTGGGAGCAGTGTGGGGAACCAGAGCATCTCCTGGGGACCCCGGGGTCCCTCTGTGTGGCTGGCAGAGCACCAGGACCTGGGGACATCCAGCAGGGAGCAGCCAGGGTCGCTGGGAGCTGAGGAGTGCTGGCAGGCAGCAGTGCTGGCTTCGCACTCGGGTCTTGTCAATTTAAATGTTAATTCAGTAACTAAATAAATCACCAATGGGCCGAGCCCAGCCTGCGTGGGCTGTCCCTGGGCTGGGCTCTCCAGAGCCCATCCCTGCTGGATTCACTCTGCTCGGCTGCTCCTTGCTGGGGGAGGATGGCTGCTGAAGGGCTGAGGGTGCCTGCTCCCTGCTGTCCCGTTCTGGGGAAGCGGAGCAATGCTGGCTGGGTGTATGGATCCTGCTGGAGCACCTGAAATCCCGCCTGAGGGCCGGGAGTGGGAGTGGGAGCAACAGCCCCAAAACCTGGGCCCCGGAGTCAAGGGGAGCCCCTCACTTGCAGCTTGCCAAAAGGGAAACTGAGGCACAGGGGAAGAGAGGAATGGGCTCAGGGACCCATCCTGCCCAAGCAGAGCAGCATTTCTGAAGCTGGGCAGCCTGAACAATTAGAAGTGATGAAGATCATCTAAAAATAGGGATTTGTAAATGTCAGGCTGGCGAGTGGCTGGGGCACGTGCTGGGAGGACGGAGCAGCTCTGCGGGCTGCCGGTGCCTGTGTGTCCTTAGGAGGGACAGGGAGCTGCTCTCATCTGCCCTGGGGGGATCCTGGCTCCCTGGGAGCTCCCCAAAGCCCAGAACTGGCTGGTGTGCATCAGCCTGGACAGCCAGCACCAGAGGCGTTTGTTTTCTGGCTGTTTTATCCCGACAGGAGCTGCGGAGGATCCCAGCTCTGCCCCGGATGGGGGACACCAGACCCTCAACACAAGTTATTTCCCACTGGTTTTTGATAGGAGCAAACATCAGCGAAGGCCTGAGGCCCCATGGATGATCCCAGCCTCAGGATCTGGGTGCTGTGCTGCCAAAACCACCTCAGATGGTTCAACCCTCTCAGTGCAGCTGATGGGAGCCTGCTGGCACAGGGACACCCAGCAGATGTTATCCCCTCCATCTCCTCCACCCTGCCAGCTTCTCCCTCATCCCCAGAATCCCACCTGTCCCCAGCGTGCCAAAAACTTGCTTGAAACAGCTGGGAACAGAGGTTTATTTGGAAAAATAATCCAGATTGGGGCAGATTAGTGGAAACACATCCTTCCCCATCTGCCTGGGCACTGCTGTGCCAGCTCCATGAGGGGCTGCCCAGAGCCAGGCCTGGGGAAAACACACAGGGCCTTCAGCCTGCCCCCTGGCCAAGCTGAGTGTCCCCAGCCCCTGATCCCTGCTGGTGTCACCTCCAGCCCCTCCTTGCTGCTGGGGACAGGTCTGTGCTCAGCAAGGAACGTCCATCTCCCACAAACATCCCAACCTGGCTAATTAGAAACATCCCTAGATAAACAGGAGAAATCCTTACTGACAATCCCCCTTCCTTTGGCAGGGCACAGGAGCCACCCCTGAACCAGAGGAAGGACAAACAGAGCACTGTCCTGGGTGTGGTGGTCCTGAGCCACCAGTGTTTCAAGTGAACCCTGCTGAGGACTCAAATCCATTTCTGTGGGGTTTTTCCCCTGTGCAAACCCTTCCCTGCTCTCAGGAACTCCACCATGCTTTGTTTGTGCCTCAGTTCCTCCAAGGTATGAGGGTAGCATCCCTGTCTTGCTTCTCCTAAAGGAATCAATGAAAAGCAGAGGGTATTTTTTCCTCCCTCTGAAGGTTTGGGTTAATTTGTGATAATGGAGGAGGGAATCTGAGGACTAAGATGTGTAGGCTGTGAGGGATGAAGTTGCTTGGGGAGAATTAATTATCATTAATTCTTTGTGCTTCTGTGAGGATGAGGCAGCTCGTGGCTCATTTTCTTCCCTGCCCCAGTGCAGGAGCACCAGAGCCCTGTGCTCAGTGAGGACAAGGGTGATGCTCCAGCCCAGCTATTTCTCCTGGATAAATCCAGCTGCCACCACCACGCTGGGAGTTTTGGCCTCGTCTGCACTAAAGAACCACACTCAGCCTCTTTCCTGGGCCACCAGGGGATACCCTGGTGTGGTGACATGAGCACCTGAACACTCCAGGACATTCTGGGGGCAGCCAGGGCTGCCCACACACATCCCCCACCCCAGCCAAACCTTCCTGCCTGCCCGCTGGATCGGCCCAGGGAACATCTGAGCTTTGGAAAACAAGGAAGGAAAAGCAGATCTCAAAGCCTGTGCTGGTTGCAAAGCACCACTCATTTCATATGCAGGGCATATAAATAGACATTTTTTGGCTTTTTTCCCCCCTCTGTTTTGGTGATGAGCCACTGCAGGGGGCTCTGAGCATGCTTTGCTTGGTTCCTATCACAGATGCTGTTTCTATCCTGCATTTCCCTCGGCTCCAGCAGCTGCTGGGGTGACTTTGTGCTCAGGCAGCAGCTCCTGCCATCAGCCCCTGCCATCAGCTCGGGAGGGTCCACATTCCTTCATGGAAAGGGGCTGCACGTAAATGTGATGGCAGCTGGGATTCTACAAACATGGGGCTTTCTTTGAGAGCCCAAAAAGCACATTTTGAGTCTCAGCTCGGTGACAATGCCCTAATCCAGAGGTTCCCTACTCCTGCTCCTTTGTCATGTGTGGGGTATGCGCTGTACAGAATTACATTGATGCTAACAAGCCACAGGAACTGTGCTCCCACAGCTGTAGCTTTATCCACCCCCATCCTATCCCCTGCACATCACCTGGAGGGGCCTCATGCACCCAGTTTGGAGGGCCAGGATGGTCTGAGCCTTTTGGAGATGTGTCCTCCTCCCTGGCACCAACACCAAAAGCCACCCCCTCCCTCCCTCTGGCCTCAGGAAAAGCTGGAGCCACCAGCTGCCCACACCAGCCACGAGTTCAGAGAAAGGGCTTTGGGGTCAGGGAGTGTTTGGCCATTTCTCATTTTGCCTGGGGGCGATTTCCTTCCCCTTATCTATCGCCAGAGCCTGGTGCCTGCTGCCAGACTGGTGCTCTGTTCCCTGCTCCAATGTCCCCCTTCTCCTGCTTCCTCCGGGCTTTTCCCTGCTCCAACATCCCCCTTCTCCTGCTTCCTCCAGGCTTCTCCCTGCACCGTGCTCTCCCTCATCAGGGCTCCCCATCTCTGTCCCCATGAATGGATGCTGGAGTCACAGCTGGGTGTGCGACACAGATGTGCCAGATGTGCAAGCCCCTTTGCTCAGGGGCTGTGGTTTGGCTGCACTGGGGTGGGAAAGGGAGGGGAGGTGGGGAAGTGGGTGAAGGTGAAGGCAGGCTGATTTTTCTCCCCTTGTAGCTGACTGCATGGAGTGACAAGGTAGCACCGGAGCCTACAAGGACCTACAATGGGGGAAAACCTCAGGAAAAGGTCTTCAAAACGCAACAAGTTTCACAAGGAGCTGAGCCGTGGGGATCTCAGCATTCCCCAGGAGCCAGGACAGAGTGGGGAACCAGCTCCCTGCTCAGCAGGACCAGCTCAGAACACCCAGGAAAATCGTAGTGATTCCCAGTGCTGTATCCCCACCCGAGCACAGCCCAGCCCAGCATGCTCTGCTCCCGCTCTCCTTTCCCAGCCGACCCACCTCGATACCGGGATTTGAAGGGCAGGAATTTCAAAGGGGAAAAATGCAAAAGACCCTGCATCCATCCCGGAGCCTCCAGGCATGCCCGGCATGGAAACAACCGCGCTTCCCACCTGGCAGCTGAGTGCACCCGGGCTGGAGGAACACAACTCCCACAGAACTCCCTCTTCAGAGCCAGCACAGCGGGCACCGGCTGCTCCCGAGCATCCCCGGCACAGCACCCGCGCTGCCCGCACCAGCCTCCCGCTGCGGGGAAAGCCGAACGCGGCCGCCTCAAACGCAGCGCTCCGGTTTCCATCCCGGAACTCAGCGTTTTAAGATGCCACGTTCCAAAAGCTGCAGCTTCCCCTGGGGAAGCCCCGCAACCGGAGATGCTCGGCGCTCCGGCACCTCGTGGGTTAGGTAGCAAACCGCCCGGCGGAGAAAAATTGCTTGAGAGAACTGTTACCTGGATAACGTTCCCGAGCCCCCGTGCTGCTGCCAGGGAAGGATCAGGACTGGCAGAGCCTGAGATCTGTGCACAAGCCACACAAAACCCCTGTGCATGCCTGGCCACCAAACCAGCTCAGCAAAAGTTCCTAAGCACCGATGAAAGCAGAGGAGCCCAGAGCTCCCTTCCTCCGGCAAACCGACCACAATAACTTCGCCTCAGCCGCGGGGATATTCGGAAATCGTTTGCAAGGAGCTTTATAGAAAATAGACGATGGAGTGGGTGCAGCTTTCAATATATTTGCTCTAGGATATAGTAACAGGCACTAAAGCAAACACGGGCAGGGGAATTAGGGCGGGCGCTTCTGCTTGGCTCGTTTTAAATGACAAAGTGCCGAGACAGCCAGGTCTACGCTACATTCTAGAGTCAAAGGGCTGCCCCCGGGAACATGCACGCAGCCGGCGGAGGCGTTTCCTACAGCTGCATCGCCTGGTGCCTAGAACGGGCTGGAAATGTCATTGAACAAAACCTTATGGATAAACGGGCTCGCGAAAGCACGTCGCCTCCCGGGGGGAGCAGCTGGACGTGTTCTCCTCTTTGCAGCAAAAAGGGAAAAAACAAAGAAATCGAGTTTAACTTTGCGCCTGTCAAATAGAAATCTACTAGGAAAGTGAGCTGTACATGGTCAAAGTCAAGTCGAGGCTCCAGGAACGTCCAGGAGGACAGTTTCAGGTACTGCCGGTGGCTTTCCCGGGCTGTGCCAAGCAAACACCCGAGGGCCGAGCCGCGCATCCCGTGTGCCGGAGGGACCGGCCCTGGGAGCTTCCCGATGCTCCGGGGCCGAGCCGCCGTGCTCCCCGCCTGGGCACACCGCGACGGGGGAACGGTCCAGCCTGGTGCCCTGCGGGAACGCGTCGGGTCGGAGAGGGCGCGGCAAGGGGCGCCGGTCCGGAGCCCTCCAGGGAGGGTCACCCCGCGCTGGCGCACCCGAGGCCGGCTCGTCCTCACAGACCGATTTTCGGCGGTGCCGCGGCAAGGGGACGGGCGGGCCGGGGCCGGGCGCGGAGGCGTCGAGGGGCCGAGGCCGCAGGGGCCGGGCCGGGTGCCGGGGCCGCCGTCAGAGGCCGGGGGTGCCGGCGCAGCGCGGGTCGGCGTCCTGCTCGTAGCGGTAGTGGTAGCCCTCCATCTGGTCGCGGCAGGCCTCGCGCAGGTTGTGCAGCCAGCGCTTGATGCCGCGGCGGTTCAGGTAGAGCACCATGAGGAAGACGACGCCGATGAGCGCCAGGACGATGCCGAAGAAGACGTAGGAGGCGGTCTCCAGCTCGCCGGGCTCGCCGCCGTCGCCGCGGGCGCAGGCCAGCGCCTCGGGCCGCAGGAGCCTCAGGGGCGGCCCCGCGCAGCGCAGGCTCCGCGCGTCGAGCACGCGGGCGGCGGCGGCGCGCAGCCAGGCCAGGAAGGGCCGCAGGCCGCAGTCGCAGCTCAGCGGGTTGGAGCCCAGGCTGAGGCGCAGCCCCCGCAGCTCCGGCGCGTCCAGGCTGCGCAGCTCGGCGGCCGCCAGCCGCTGCAGCGAGTTGTTGCGCAGGTCCAGCTCCTCCAGGCCGGGCGGCAGCAGCGCGGCCGGCAGCGCCTGCAGCGCGTTGCCCGCCAGCTCCAGGCGCCGCAGGCTGAGGTTGCGCGTGGCCAGGGCGAGCTGCTCCTCGAGCGGGGCCGCCAGCAGCGCCTGGTTCAGCTGCAGCGTGCGCAGCAGCGGCACCCCGGCGAAGGCGCCGGCGGCCACCGAGCGCAGCGGGTTGTGGCTCAGGTCGAGGGTGCGCAGGGCGGGCAGGCCCTGCAGGGCCATGTCCTCGATGGTGTGGATGTTGTCGTGGCGCAGGCGGAGCAGGCGGAGGTCGCGCAGCGGGCGGGCGGCGAAGGCGGCGCGGGACAGGACGCTCAGGTTGCTGCCGGCGATGCTGAGGTTCTGGACGGCGGCCGGCAGCTCCCGCGGGGGCTCCTCCAGCCTCTCGTAGCGGCACTGCACCAGCTCCGGGGTGGCCACGCAGTAGCAGGCGGAGGGGCAGGCGGCGGGGGCGGCGGCGGGGGGCACGGCCAGCGGCAGCAGGGCGAGCCCCAGCCAGGGCAGCCAGCGCCCGCCGCCCGCCGGCCGCGCCTGCCTGACAATGG